GGCCGATTCCTTCTCATTCTTAGAATTCCCCTCATACCTGTGGATAGATGTCTGTTCCCCTAAAACTGCTCTTACCTGAACCAGTTCAGGACTTTTAACTCTAATTTTACATTCGTCCTTTCAGTCCAGGGATTCTGCTTGTGTAACCCTCACGTCTTCTGTTTGCTAGTGTGTTTCTAAGAGTTTCTATGGCAGGTGCTCACAACCTCTTTTTCGTTTCCTGCCCCATCACAGGATGGAGAGGAACTCTCCCATCCGGTACTGTGGCTCACCTTGACATTGCTGCTTGGTGGCAGAACACTGTATCCTAATCCCCAGGAACAGAGCTTGAAAATTACCGCCCCCCAACCTCCACCCCCACAAGCTCAGGAGACTTCTCATCCTGTGCTTCTCCCCGCTACCTGTCTTAGTGATGGACTTAAAGACTAGCCTCTGGGGTCCCACGGCGTGTTTATTTTACTCTTCAGATGCTTTTGCCTTTGATTACAAACCTTGAAGAAGATGTGATTAAGCTGTGGCTTTACCGGTCATAAACAAGTAGGACATTTGCATTTTGTTTTCCAGGCTCTTTGCTTTGAGTACCTTGTTGAATGCATGTTACCCACGTTATGAGATTTATAACTTGATGGTTTAAATGACACTCAAATATGTTTGTCGTTTCATTTAGCAGTACAAACTTGATCTGTACTTGCCAGCCATATTTTAATTCTTTTAGCTTACAGCTCTCTAGAAGCATGATTGTAATTTCCAGTCATTTTGACTTGTGGAGAAATGGGGAGAATGGGAATAATAACGGTGCTTTGTGAATAATGCGTGCTGAAGTGCAAATGAGCCTTTAAATTGAAAAGGGAAGGCACTGATGCCGGTCAACTCAGTTCTCAATATTTCTCTCTAGAAAGTGCTGTGATGGTTTTTATGGAAGAGAAAGCATCCTGGACTTAAAATGCATGTATATAATGAAAATGGTGGGAAAAATAATTTCAAATATGTGGAATCCTTGTGAACTGGAATTATATAGTAGATTATTTTGGTTAGCACCTATGGTAAATATGAAAGGGACATTTCCTGCCCTGCTTACACTGCCTTTGTTTCACTCTTAAAAAAAAACCAAAATCAATGGAAAGGCTGCTAACTAATCTTGTTTATGCAATGCAGCAACTGCATTTGCTTTTTCCCTATATTTTTCTGCCCCCACTAAATGTTAACTATTGCAAAGACTGGTTTGCAGACTCTGGTTTTTCTGCAGGTGTCTGCGTTTTTCTTCACAGAGCATCAGGAATAAATCTGCACTCAGGGTATACACTGGCTGTGATATAAACCTGAGCTATTGTTTGTCTTTTTCACAAGGCTCTACATTAGATTTTAGTGAGAACCCAAGTTGCCCCTCGAAGGGCACAGAAAATCAGGGGCGTCACAGTCAGCTCGTTCTCTCTGTGGATTTTTGAGTCCAGCCTGAAGCCTCCTTACTGTTCAGCTCCCCCATGGCAAACTCCTTCCCTCTCCATCGGCTACTCATTCAAGAATGCAAACCAATTTTAACATTATCCTAAGCAAGCTCTGAGCAAGGCAAAGACGGTACATCTACTGGAAAAAATCACATAAGACATCCCAAAGGCAAATGCAAATTAGTTTTGAATTGCCTTTTCTTTAGGGATTATCTGTGTCATTGTTCCCCTCCATTAGTATGGATAATTATGAGTCAAATAGAAAAGTTGCTGCCTTCTCTGAAAAGAAATGTTTGCTTGGGCCGCCGTGTACATATAGGACAGCGAGTTGGGGAGGTGCTGTTTTGCTTCCTCGAAGGTGGCCATTCTGAAATGAACTGGTGCTATTGCTTTTGTGTTTCTAGACAGCCTGTCGTATTTGTTTAAAGAAGGCACAGTAGTGGTGGGGTATTTGTAGCCATAGTAGTATATAACACATTATATGTAGAGCCTAATGAGAGTTGAATATCAGGAATGGCCAGAACTGTTTGAAAACTCCTTAATTATGACAGGCATACTGAATTCCTCTCTAACAACCATCCTTGCTTCCATATCTCTTCTAAGAGACTATCATGTTCTCTTATTACCTTAGTTGTTCTTTTTGTTTGTTTGTTTGTTTGTTTTTTTGAGACGGAGTCTCGCGCTGTCACCCAGGCTGGAGTGCAGTGGCGCG